ATTATATATATATTTATATAATAATTATAATTTACAAAAATATAATATCATATAATATAATATAATATTATGAAATATAATTAATATTAACTTTTTAGGTGAAAAAGAAAATAATTTATATAATAAAAAAAAATATATAAGGAATAATATTATTTCGATTCTGAAAAGGAAGAGAGATAAACTTTCATAAAGGATTAATAAATCCAAAATTAATTAATCCAAAAGGATTAATAAATCCAATCGAAATTATTTATATAGGAGAAAATGAATCTTCATGAACCGCAAAGAAAATTTGATCAAAAATCATTAATTCTTATATGACATATAGGCGATATCTGTAAGTTATATAATCTTGTTCCTTCAATTATACTTAGTAATTTCATGCTTATCGTTGAAATGTAATGAAATCGTATATTCAAAGGAACAGTGGCTAAGTGTCTAAAGCTTTTATAGTAATTATACTATATAGTTATTAGATATGTAATGTATTTTGCATAACTATAAGATTTCATAAGATTTAACTATTAAATATAAATATATATGAAATTAATATATGTGAAAAAAATATACTTACATATTGATTTATTTATTAAATTTTATTTGAAAGTATAAAGTTTTATGAATTAAACATATAAAGTTATTAAAATTTCTAAAAAATTCTATATATGGATTTCAAAATATAATTTTTACAAAAACAAAAAATTATTAATTAATAATTATTAATCTTTCAATTTTAAGAAACATAAATTAATAAAGATAATGATTCTATAAAAGATTTTATAAAAGACAATAATGTCTTTGAAAAATATAAAAATATCTTAAAATACAATTTTTAAATTTTATTTAATCTATTTAAAATTACATATTGAACATAGAATTGAATAAATTGAAAAGAATAATTTTCACATTAAAAGGATCATTATTAAATTCATTATTACAAGAAATACTTCAAGACACAAATTTCGATAAAACAATAAAACAAACAAAAAACAAAATAAAAGAATAAAACTCAAGGTTGCACGTGTTCAGTTAGAGCGCGAAAACTTGTCGAGGACATAAAAGATCCAGCAGCTGGATCTATTCTAAGGACTTCAGAAGTTAGACAAAGCAAGAGGAACCTTGTCTAAAGGGGTGCAAGATTGTCTGGTATAGAAATACGATGAATTAGTCCCTTGAAAGTCCCTTCTAGTTTGGACCAGATGCCTCTTTTGTACGATGTTCTCTTGTCATAGAATTGTCAATTAACCATTCCGTGACGCAATTTTCATCATGAAACGTTAATAATCATAAAAGAAAAATTTAGTTTATGGAATTCAGGAAATTTTTAATTCTCTTCTTATAATATTACGTTAATGCATAATAAATATTTTTTCGAGATAAATTCAATATCAATATAATTTGTTTTTATATAATTCGCAATTTTATTATTTCTTCAATTTCTAAAATCTATTGTGACACAGTTATCAAAAAAATTATCAATAAAGAGAATGAGAAAGAAAAACGAGACGAAAAAATTTTATAAGTTTTTTGAATAAAATAACATAAAAATGGAAACAATATTGCAATATTTTATGATTTTAAAATGACTGAAATATGATTTTATCGAAAAATATTTACATTTATAAATAAGAATTTTAATTCAATACTTTTTTACAATCTATTCTATGCACATATAAATTAACATCAATAACATTATGATGAATCAATCATGATTCATATTATTTCTGCAATTAATATTAATTGAACGATATTTTCAGGGATGACAGTTTGAGTACATGTAGTCGAAGAAAAGAAGAAACACGAGTTCGCAGGAAAAATCTTGGGAAAGCACGTATTGCTCCATAACGATGACGGGTGCTTCCCTCTCTTTTTCAAGGAACTTGCAATCATTATCCTAGATTGCATTAATATTGTTTCATCTACTATTTTCTCTCTCTGTCTGAGTAAATGAAACTGATTCACAGATTGTCACGATTCTAAAACATTCGGATATTCATAAAGTCATTCATAAAAATCGTGTTTTCAACTCATCGTTGAATATTAAATCACATATATTCTGTTAAAGTAAGTTAAAATATTCATTATTATTTCTAACTAATATATGTATATAGCAATTTAATAAATAAAAATTTATTTATCATAAATAATTAAATTAAAATTTTTAATAATGATTAATTTTTAATAATTAATTAATAAGTGACAAATCTATTCATTACTTAATATACATGTAATTACTTCACAAATATTGGAGAGAATAATTTGAAAATCATAATATCAAAATAAAAATGCAAAAAAATTCTTATTATAACAATTTTAATCAGAAATCTGGATCAAGAAACTGTAATTCATGATCCATCGATGGAGAACGTTTAAAGTTGATTATCGAAATTTTATAAACCTGACACGTTCAATGACGCAGTTTAATTACATGACAAGCAAAAACAGGATTGCTCGACCACGACAAAGCGTAATTTGATTACTCGTCGGTGGATGGAACGCTGATGCCATTGGTCGATGCAATTTCGATCGATCTTCGATTTTTCATCCCACAAACAGCATTACATCTTCCAAAATGTAATTACTCTATTACCACTTATGATATTCGAAGAAGCGGAAATAATTAAATAACATTTGAAATTTACTTAACCATTTTTATTATATCAATCGCTTTCTATAATTTACCATATTAATATATGTTTACCGAATAAAATTTAAATTTAAATAAAAAGCAGTAATTATGATGCATGAATTAACAGACAGCATTATCTTGTAAATTATTGCCTACTGTATCTGACATAAGGTATTTTACGAGCGGTTGAGAATGTAAATTTACCACATGCTCGCACGTGAGCATATACCATGGTTAATAGTCGATAAAGCGGTCGATACTGATTGGCGTGGTATCGTGCAGGTGTACCACTTTTACGTACCACATGATAGACGTGTGAAGCATTGAAGTTCGTCTGGTAAGCCTTTGGAGCACGTATTTTGATATATCAATTACTTATTTGATTTTAATGATATAAGATTTTTTTATCTACTATATATAATATTAATTGGAAATAAAATTTATATAATATTTTATAAAATATATAGCTGATGTATCTTAAAAATTATAAAACATGATCACATGGAATAGATTTCTATAATTGTAATTTGCATTAATAAAATTATATATAACTTGGATATTTGTTTAAAAGTCATATATATAATTATATAAATTTTAATCATAATATATATAAATTCTTATCATTCGTAATATGACATAAGCAAAAAATTATACTGATGAGTTAATACTAACGCTTATTAAAAATGAATGATTTATGTATTAAGTGATAGCAACAGCAAGTAATTTTTTCTTGAATATTTTAAATTTTTTATTCACATATACGTACGTCATATATGTAGCGTCAATTCAATATTAGAATTAAAATATATTTTTATTTTAATGTGCTTCCAATTTCAATTTTTATAAATTTTAATTCAATTTTCTAAAATCTAATAAATTATTTCTTAATTCAATAATCTACTGAATCTTCAATATAATACTAATTCAGTTTATTTTATTTCAGATAATTACTATAAATCAGGCTACAAATTTGCAGTTTTATTTTCCCAAAAGAAAAACTCATTCATCAGTAAAGGACCAGTAACCTTTGAACTCTTCATACTGGGCTACTATTCGATCAATATTCATATAACATATAATAACCATTCATTGTTCATTTTAAACGCAAAAGACGTCGCTAATTACTTGCCGCGAAATCGTCTTCGACAACATTCAAGATAATAATTGTCAGAAAGGAACGACCGATAGATAGACTGGTCGATAGAGCTTAGGGTGGCATAGCGTGGTTCATACTCGTGTTCCGTGTACACACGAAGCTGCGATACACGCGCCATACGCAAGCACACAGAACCACTATGGGGAAAGAGAGACAGAAAAAGAGAGGCAGAGAGAGAGAAAGGGAGAGGGCAGACGACATGCGCCGGCCCTCGTTGCTGCATGTTATAATGTTCGAAGCCCACGAACAGAACGAACGTTGGACGACAGTCATTCAGAGCTCGACCAGTGTGCCGTACGTTTCGTGGCTCCTCTCATCCTCGTGCTACATCGTGTTCGTTCACATCCGCCCTCGGTTCCCGGCATCGCCGATTAGACTATCTGAGAGCCGTCAATTAACCAGAACAGGAACTAAAAATACAGGAAAGAATGATGCTCTGAATGTGATCATCGCGTTCACACCGGACATTTATTTCCCGATGATTTTTTTCTATGATGCGCTAATAGAGGATAGACATTAGTGACCAGTGATATTTGGAAACACTAGACATCTCTAAGGGGTTAAATAGTTTCCTCCGAATATTCGGTGAGTAATTTTCAATGAATTTTTATTATTGATGTTTAATATATATGGAGAGTTGTACAAACGTGATAAATATTGAATGAAAACTCAGAAATTCAATGCGAATCACTGTAAATATATAAAAGTTGAGTAATCGTTGAGTAATCTCGTTAGATTAGTCGATAATGTTACGAGCTATATTATGCAAGTTGTGTTATGGCCACTGACGCCATTGGAGTCAAGAAATAATATATTATTTCTTAAGAAAATTAATGAAATTAAAGAGTTTATTGACTGAAATCTTTTGAATTTTTTTTAAAAATAAGTTATCAATGTTCTTTTATAAAATATTACGACAGTTTCTGTGATTAATGTAAAAGCTATGATGGAAAACATTCGGATACAGTGGTCGGTTGAATGAAAACAACCCTCTTTGCAGAGATGTCGCTAGTTCTTTGGCAATGATCCCTTTTTTTTTTTTTTTGCTGAATCGTAAGATTCTTTGTTTG